GTGGACTGGAGACCCAAGTTATTTTTTGTTTCACCTGTTCAGCCATGCAGGACATCCTCACCGAGTCTCACGACTTCTTTTTCAGGAGGGTACTGCCAAGTTTTCGCAGTAGAGGGGAGGGCGGTGCTGCCGCTGTGTGTGTGATCTCAACGGAGTGATTTTTATATTCTTGGTTCTTTCGGTAAAGTCACCACGTAGAAGGGAAACAATAAAATAATAAAAATATAAAACAATAAAATTCTCACGACGTTTCGACTGCAACACAAGCAATCATCGTCATCAGGTGTGAAAACCACAGCAAGAAATTTTTGAGTGATTTTTGTCAGTGTTGTCTTTCAGCATTCGGATGTTTTGGCCAATAACCGGTCGCACTTGTGTGGTATTTTGTAAAGCTGCGGGGGAGATAAACCTGACAACTCAGAGGAAGCCCATTGCAGAACAAGGGGGAGAACATACAGACTGCGCACAGAAAAGCAACCCAAGTCTGGGACCATCAAACCAAGCTGCTCCCTCTTGCTTTGAGGCGCAAGCGACAGCACTGCGCCTCCACCGTGAATATCGCGGCCACATCTGTGGACGCCGCCACGTTCCAGCAGCGTCGGGGTCAAATTGACACTTTTCGACTCTAGCTTTTTTTGTTGTTGTTGCCCGTGGGTGCAAAAGCAACGGAATTTTGAGGTGCGTTCGGGTTTGCAAGGGGGCGTTGAGCACAAAGGAATGGACACGGCCGAACGGTATGTTGTTGTTGATATTGTACATAATGGTTGTTGTGGAGTTGTAACTCGTATCTAAGACGGACGGAGAGAGGGCCCTTGCCTATACACATCTGGCAGTTCACCAGATGTAGTTCAATGAAGCTTGGCTATGCTGATCAGGCACCGCATGTTGAAACCAGTGCTTGCCTATACGCATCTGGAAGTTGACCAGCATGTTGTTTCAAGCGAGCCTGACTGTGCTGATGAGACACGACGCTTTGCTTTTATTTGGCAAATGGTGTTGAAAAACACTGCCAGAAAGGACGTGCGGCCGATGGGATGTGTCACAAAAAAACATATTTTACGTGTTGTGTGTGTGTGTGGAGAGATGGATATGGAAACGAGGCGTGGAATGTTCGCTTACAGCAGGGGTGGGGAACGGTTTTTCTGTACAGGGGCCTGTTGGATATTTATACCATCATTCGCGGGCCATACAAAATTATCAACTTAAAAATTAGCCCGTCATATTTGGTCAAACATTTAATTAACTCACCCCTAATTCGATGGCTGGAGCTGCTTCTCTTTGGCGAGGCGTGGTGATGATGTTAGCCGGTATTGGCGATGCTGCTACTCGCAATTACTTTCCCAGGTTGGCTCCTAGATTCATTGAATTCGAGTCCCGCCTGCGGTTGCCTTGGCAGAGCCAGAGACCCAAATGATTTCGCGGGCCTCATACGGCCCTTGGGTCGGACGTTCCCCAACCCCCGGCTTACAGCATGTGTATGAACTTACCGGTGGCTTATTGATACTGAATTCTCTGGATCAAAAGGCACTCCCAAACTTTGGGGTCTTTTTGAGAAAAAAAGCGAGTTTTGTCTTTGCGGAGATTACGGTAATGTTTCCTTCAGAGGTTTTTGTATTGGACCGTGTAAAGATAAATGTGTCATTAAACCCGCCACCACCTGACCACAGCTAATTAGTAGAGTTCATCACGGAAACAAAACGTGACAATCCGTTACTGGTGCGTTGGAGAGTAAACCCACGACATGTACAACTCGAGTACGACGTTTCGCCGGTAATTACAACCAGCATCATTAGGCGACAGCCAAAGTTGTGGAGGCAATCTTCCCATTTCGGTCTGAAATAGAGGGATAAATGTGATATCGTCCCTTGTGAGCCAATCAGGTGCGAAGGCCAAAGGGCGGGGGGCGGGTTAGGGGCCGTCCATAAATGACGTCACGCGATTTTGGACGATTTTTGACCCCCCTCCCCTCGTCACACGGCGTCACAAAAAGTCAGACCCCCCCCCCCCTCAAATATGACGTCACAAAGCTCTGCCCCCCCCCCCCAAATAAAACATGTTTCAAATCGCTTTAAACTATTGTCATTGTAATGCGTATTTAATGTGGCGTTGCACTCTGGTGTTGTAGGAGAAAACATTTATTAAAAAGTCTATTGAATTAAGTAGAACGTGTCGCCTATATTTATTTAAAGTTGCGCATTTTGACGTGACGTCACATTTCTCACCCCCCGCCTCCACCCCTCGTCACGCATCGTCACAAATGTCTGACACACCCCCCCCCTCTCCCCCTAGGTCCGTGACGTCATTTATGGACGGCCCCCTTAATGTACACATTTACATTACAATGGCTACGCACAACCGTTTGGCTTAGCTATCAAGCGAGCCTCCGTGTCAAGCTAGGGTCGTGTAACGGACGGCAGCGCTACGAAATGGATTGCTGCATCGCAGCGTCGTGCCAGGCGGAGTGTGGGGGAAAGGGCCTTCATCCAGCAGCGGATTGACCACGGCAGACGGCTCGTGCAGCAGTCGAAGTACACTGCTGCCATCTGGCGGCGAGGAGGCGCGATTCGCCGCAGATTGAAGGTCGGCTCGAACTGAACGGCCACTGAACGTGCCCCCCCCCCCCCCCATGTGGTACGGGTCGGACGGGACTGCTGTACGTCAATAACACCGGGAAACTAGAATATTGTTATATCTTGATTTAAAGCTTTCGTGACTGCAGGGATTCATATTCTTGGTTCTTTCGGTAAAGTCACGTAGAAGGGAAACAATAAAATAATAAAAATATAAAACAATAAAATTCTCACGACGTTTCGACTGCCACACAAGCAACCATCATCATCAGGTGTGAAAACCACATCAAGAAAATTAGCATCAATACATTTTAGAAATAATTTACTAAATGATCTAAAAATGTAATAAGTGGAAGCGTATAAATAGGTTTTAAGGCGCATTTAAAAAAAAGTGTAAAACGTATTCTTAGCTCTTTCGGTAAAGTCACGTTGAAGGGAAACAATAAAATAATAAAATATATATAAAACAATAAAAATTCTCACGACGTTTCGACCAAAAAACCAACGGAACGTCGTGAGAATTTTTATTGTTTTATATATTTTATTATTTTATTGTCTCCTTTCAACGTGACTTTACCGAAAGAGCTAAGAATATGAATTACTGCAGTCACGAAAGCTTTAAATCAAAATTTAAGCGTAAAACGATTACCAATTTAAAAATGTTCACAGACTCTGTGACCTCTGCGGGGAAAAATCTCGGTCACCCATAGACCGAATACAGAGAGAGAGAAGATCTTGGGGACCTTGAGGGGACACGTGGGTGCAGCATGTCAATGATGCAAGCTGGGGCAAGGTTGGTTTACTGGCAAGTTTCGATGGGAAAGAAACGCGTTTTTTTTCAGAGAAAATCAAAATTTAACTCACTTGGTACATTCCAAACTATCGCCACCAAACCACTCCGTCCGCCCCCCCCCCATTTATTTTGACCCCAATGGTACAACCCACATTGTGACGTCACCGCCTCGTGGTTACCGATGCCAGATCGGAGGTTGTTATTGTATTACACGTTTTTTATTAACTCACTCTGTCTATCATTGTTGTATCCTCAAATATTGTAACTCAATTTTAACCCACTTCCCAATGTGGTATCGACTGCAAATTTGGTATACTTATGTCATACTGATGACAATACTATATTCTATCATAAAAAGTACATATTTATTTTTGTAACATTATTTTTTATATGTTATGTTTCGGCTTGGGTCTTATTGTCCATGGGAAACTGACGTTGGCTGTAATTTACCACGGTCCCTTTTCAGTTTCAGTTGATTTATTTTGGTATAGCCCTGTGAGCCATTCGGCTCTTGAATCGGGTGCAACCACAACAAACAAACAAAAAAACAAAAACACGAACAAGAAAAACATCTTAAAGTGACTCTGTGTGACTGTACAAACAGAAAATCCATGAAAAAAACAGCAAAATATTCCTGAAAAAAGCACCGTACACCAACGCTGTGTGCAAAAAATCCCAGTGGGATGCAAGTTAAACAACAACAACAACAACAACCACAAGAAAACTTAGATTAAGGCCATCAGTCTAACTCCGTACTACAACAAAACAAACATGTCCAAACCAAAAAACTTTTCGAAATCACCAAAAAATAAAGCCATAATTGCAACGTAACAGTGATCACAGGGACTGTGACCGAATTTTTACAATAAACTACATAAATAACATGTAACACCAAATCCTAGAGCCATAGCTGGCTGCATGAGTTACTCCACAACAATAGAAGCATCGGTCGGAGTATCAAATTTTTCAAGGCACCTTTAAGATCAGCACACTAAATCAAAATACAGATAATACTTTGCAGCGTCATCCGGAGCGAAACATTGTATTTTATTTTACGCCAATGAATAGTAGTGGAAGCTAGGGGAGTACAACTCCTCTAGAGCAGTTTTGAGAGAAAATCTCATAGGTAGTGATTCAAGTTGCAGTTTATTGGCAATAGCATTCCAGACCCGGGGAGCACCAATAGCAAAGGCCCTTCCTCCGGTTTTTGTACGGCAATAGGGAATGTGAAGCTGGTAAATGAGCGAAGACCTGAGGTCAAACGTGTTCTTTGAACCAGAGAGGAGATCCAGCGGATTTTTTTGTAAGTACATGGTGAATAAATAAGATCTGGTGCACAAAAAACCGTCGAACATTAAGAGATGTTAAGTTTGACCCAATGTAGAGATCACGTTACGGCAAGCTTCTGGGCCACTTCCTGGAGTCGTGGAGTTCTTCCATTACTAGTACGGTACATTTCATTAAAGCGTGTTTTTAAAAAAGTGTTTTAAAAATATTCATTTTTTTTAGAGAAAGTCAAAATGTCACTTACTTGGTACATTCCAAACTATCGCCACTAAACCCCCCCCTCCCCCCCATTTATTTTTACCCCAATGGTACAACCCACATAGTGACGTCACCCCCTGGGGGTGGGCGATGCCACGTGGTTTCGGGTGCCAGATCGGAGGTTGTTTTTACCTCTGCCTCGCACGGGCGACTACTGTATGCGAACTACAGTACTCGTGTTAAGAGTAGTTTTATATTTGAGTTATTACCTTCATATTGCAATAAGGTAAAGACAGCATTCGCGACCCTTGCCTGCTACGCTGCCCCTATCGTATCGATCCACTTACGTACAGAGCTATGCCCGATTGAATTCGCGCCCAGGAAGAACGCCCCTGCCATAGGAACGTGGAGTTTCCACCATCGGCTGTGCGAACGAGATGCGCGCCAGTGCCTCAATTGGTGTTTTTGTTTTTTAAAAGCGGGAACTCACTCGTGACTTTAAAAGTCTGTTGTTGATGTTTAATCGACGGCGGTTCGAACGTAAACCTTTCAGATTCATTGTTTTGGACATTGCGAGGCATTTGCGCTCTGTTGTGTTGTGAACATCGCGCGCGAAGTTGTTACCGTGGGTGGGTGGATGGGGGGGTTGTTGTTGTGGCAAGCCGGGGCGGTCAGAGGCGGGGTGAGTGTGGGGTGAGTAGCGGGGTGAGTAGCGGGGTGTGTGTGTGGGGTGAGTAGCGGGGTGTGTGTGGTGAGTAGCGGGGTGAGTGTGGGGTGAGTAGCGGGGTGAGTGTGGGGTGAGTAGTGGGGTGTGTGTGGTGAGTAGCGGGGTGTGTGGGGTGAATAGCGGGGTGAGTGTGGGGTGAGTAGCGGGGTGAGTAGCGGGGTGAGTGTGGGGTGAGTGTGGGGTGAGTAGCGGGGTGAGTAGCGGGGTGAGTGCGGGGTGAGTAGCGGGGTGAGTGTGGGGTGAGTAGCGGGGTGAGTGTGGGGTGAGTAGCGGGGTGAGTAGCGGGGTGAGTGTGGGGTGTGTGTGGGGTGAGTAGCGGGGTGAGTGTGGGGTGAGTGTGGGGTGAGTGTGGGGTGTGTGTGGGGTGAGTGTGGGGTGAGTAGTAGGGTGAGTGTTGGGTGAGTAGTGGGGTGAGTGGGGTGTGTGTGGGGTGAGTAGCGGGGTGAGTGTGGGGTGAGTAGCGGGGTGAGTGTGGGGTGAGTGTGGGGTGAGTAGCGGGGTGAGTGTGGGGTGAGTAGCGGGGGTGTGTGTGGGGTGAGTGTGGGGTGAGTAGCGGAGGGTGTGTGGGGTGAGTAGCGGGGTGAGTAGTGGGGTGAGTGTTGGGTGAGTAGCGGGGTGAGTGTGGGGTGAGTGTAGGGTGAGTGTGGGGTGAGTGTGGGGTGAGTAGCGGGGTGTGTGCGGGGTGAGTAGCGGGGTGAGTGTGGGGTGAGTAGCGGGGTGAGTGTGGGGTGTGTTTGGGGTGAGTGTGGGGTGTGTGTGGGGTGAGTGGGGTGAGTAGCGGGGGGTGTGTGGGGTGAGTAGCGGGGTGAGTAGCGGGGTGAGTGCGGGGTGTGTGTGGGGTGTGTGTGAGGTGAGTGTGGGGTGTGTGTGGGGTGAGTAGCGGGGTGAGTGTGGGGTGAGTGTGGGGTGAGTGTGGGGTGAGTAGCGGGGTGAGTGTGGGGTGTGTGTGGGGTGAGTGTGGGGTGAGTGTGGGGTGAGTAGCGGGGTGAGTGTGGGGTGTGTGTGGGGTGAGTGTGGGGTGTGTGTGGGGTGTGTGTGGGGTGAGTAGCGGGGTGAGTGTGGGGTGAGTAGCGGGGTGAGTAGCGGGGTGAGTGTGGGGTGAGTAGCGGGGTGAGTCTGGGGTGAGTAGCGGGGTGAGTGTGGGGTGAGTAGTGGGGTGAGTGTGGGGTGAGTAGCGGGGTGAGTGTGGGGTGTGTAGCGGGGTGAGTGTGGGGTGAGTGTGGGGTGTGTGTGGGGTGTGTGTGGGGTGAGTAGCGGGGTGAGTGTGGGGTGAGTAGTGGGGTGAGTAGCGGGGTGAGTGTGGGGTGTGTGTGGGGTGAGTGTGGGGTGAGTGTGGGGTGAGTAGCGGGGTGAGTGTGGGGTGTGTGTGGGGTGTGTGTGGGGTGAGTAGCGGGGTGAGTGTGGGGTGAGTAGCGGGGTGAGTCTGGGATGAGTAGCGGGGTGAGTGTGGGGTGAGTAGTGGGGTGAGTGTGGGGTGAGTAGCGGGGTGAGTGTGGGGTGTGTAGCGGGGTGAGTGTGGGGTGTATGTGGGGTGTGTGTGGGGTGAGTAGCGGGGTGAGTGTGGGGTGAGTAGTGGGGTGAGTAGCGGGGTGAGTGTGGGGTGTGTGTGGGGTGAGTGTGGGGTGTGTGTGGGGTGAGTAGGGGGGTGTGTGTGGGGTGAGTGTGGGGTGAGTAGTGGGGTGAGTGTTGGGTGAGTAGCGGGGTGAGTGTGGGGTGAGTAGCGGGGTGAGTAGCGGGGTGTGTGTGGGGTGAGTAGCGGGGTGAGTAGCGGGGTGAGTGTGGGGTGAGTGTGGGGTGTGTGTGGGGTGAGTGTGGGGTGTGTGTGGGGTGAGTGTGGGGTGTGTGTGGGGTGAGTGTGGGGTGAGTAGCGGGGGGTGTGTGGGGTGTGTGTGGGGTGAGTAGCAGGGTGAGTGTGGGGTGAGTAGCGGGGTGAGTGTGGGGTGAGTAGCGGGGTGAGATTGGGGTGAGTAGCGGGGTGAGTGTGGGGTGAGTAGTGGGGTGAGTGTGGGGTGAGTAGCGGGGTGAGTGTAGGGTGTGTAGCGGGGTGAGTGTGGGGTGTGTGTGGGGTGAGTGTGGGGTGTGTGTGGGGTGAGTGTGGGGTGAGTAGCGGGGTGAGTGTGGGGTGAGTAGTGGGGTGAGTGGGGTGAGTAGCGGGGTGAGTGTGGGGTGTGTAGCGGGGTGAGTGTGGGGTGTGTGTGGGGTGAGTGTGGGGTGAGTGTGGGGTGAGTAGCGGGGTGAGTGTGGGGTGTGTAGCGGGGTGAGTGTGGGGTGTGTGTGGGGTGAGCGTGGGGTGTGTAGCGGGGTGAGTGTGGGGTGAGTGTGGGGTGAGTGTGGGGTGAGTAGCGGGGGGTGTGTGGGGGAGTAGCGGGGTGAGTGTGGGGTGTGTAAGCGGGGTGTGTGGGGTGAGTAGTGGGGTGTGTGTGGGGTGAGTAGCGGGGGGTGTGTGGGGTGAGTAGTGGGGTGTGTGTGGGGTGTGTGTGGGGTGAGTAGTGGGGTGTGTGTGGGGTGAGTAGCGGGGTGTGTGTGGGGTGAGTAGCGGGGTGAGTGTGGGGTGAGTAGCGGGGTGAGTGTGGGGTGAGTAGCGGGGTGTGTGTGGGGTGAGTAGTGGGGTGTGTAGCAGGGGGGGGGGTCTGGGTGAGCGGTAGTGTAGCGGGTGGCGCTACGCTGCGCTACGAACCCGGCGACCCGAGTTCGATTCCCGCTCATGGCCAACACTCAGTGACGTTCATCTCAACCGGTCCTGGGCCTCACCTAGGTCGGCTCAGCCTCAAATGAGAACCCGGTGCGTTGTGTAATAACATTGCCACAAGGGAGACAAAGGCGGCCGGGCGTGGTGTTGGCCACCATCCCCTCGTGTGCCGTGCCGGCCTTCATAGGCGCTCACTAACAGCACTTGCCCCTACAGTCTGTTAAGGCTATACGGGGGATCTTTGTCTTTATGTGGGTGAGTGAGGGTAAGTGGGTTAGTGGTGGTGAGTGTAAGTGGGTGAATGTGGGTGAGTGGTTAGTGGGTGAGTGAGTGAGCGTGAGTGGGCTGAGTGGTGGTGTGTTTCGGTGAGTGTTGGTTAGTGTGTGGGTTAAGTGGTTGCTAGTGAGTATATGAGTAGGTGAGTTTGTGGATAAGCAGGTGAGTGTGTGGGCGAGTGCGAGTATGCGGGTGAGTATGGATGAGTGACTTTTGGTGAGTGCTAGTGTATTGCTGGAGTGAGAGAGTGAGAGTGTGTGACTTTCGGTGAATATGTACGTATGTGTGTATTCATGTGTTGGTGAGTTAACATGGTGCTGGCCACCCACCCCCTCGTGTGCCATGCCGGACGTCAAAGGTGCTCGCTGGTAGCGTTTACCCAAAATGTAGGTTCAGGCTACATGTGGGATCTTTGGAGTGAGTGAGTGAGAGTGAGCGAGTGATCAAAATCTCATTCAGATAACATGCAAATTTCATCTCAACCAGATTATTCTATTTAGTTTAATTTTTATTTTCTCTCTACGTGACTTTACTGAAAGAACGAAAGAGTACGAATTCCTGCAGTCACGAAAGCCTCAAATCAAGATCGGATTATTCTACTTCTGACCCAGATGCCATGCGTTGTTGTCTCCCTATACGCAGATAACAACATTGACCACAGGCACGGACACCTTGGAGGGGCCCATTGTATCCGGACGATCGGCGCAACGAGAGAGAGAGGGAGCGAGAATTGTCCGGCTCGTGAGTTTGGACCCCCCGGCAGTCTCCGCTACGCCATGTCTGCTCAGGAGGACGAGCCGAGTGGCCGTGGCGGTCGCGGTGGTCGTCCAGAAACCCGAGGAGAGAAGATTCCTGCACCGCATGCGGGGCGTAAGCGAGACCCGTTCCCTTGCTCCGAGAGGTCGGGTGGCGGCGGCGGCGGCGGCGATGCGAATGATCGTTCAAGCGACCCGACTTTGCAGAGCGGTAAGTGGGCCCCGTGTCGCCGTGCTATCGGTTCCGTTTTCTGAGGTCACCCGGTGGCTCAGAGGTAAAGAGATGCTGAGTCGGCTCCGCTGAGACCCTGGGTTCGAATCCGTGTTTCAGCCGCACAACGAAAGTAATTTAACGGGGTTCTCACGTGCGGTGAGGTGATGGGTCTTAGCCCGCTCACCATACACTTACATGGAGAGCCATAGAATTACTTACAGACCCATAGACTCGTGTGTAGAGGCTGCAGATGAGCAGGAGGTGAGGCTCATATACAACAGAGGGCACCCTGTTACACACAACATGCCACGCTTACGCATGTCTCTTCAACACTTTATTGTTCCAACAGCCGACAGCAGTAGAGACCCGATCATACGTCAAGCCCGGGACCTTTTAATCAAGTAAGAAATGCCGGCATTCTGAGATAAACGTAATGGAGCCGAATGACTAACTATTGCTATGTTCTGGGAGTGTCATGTTCGTACGTGCGTCCGTCCATTCGTACATTAGACACATTTCACTTTTTCTAAAAAAAAACGCAAAGCCCTAATTGCGCATTAGGTCTCGATGTAAAACTTGCTCTCAGACCCGTGAACTTACACCGACGTCTAAATGTATTTCCGTCGTGACCCATGAGCGTTCGTCGGATGCCGAACGAACTTGCGCAGAGTTCTCGCGTACCAATGGAGGCACGTGTCGGGTGTGTGCCCCCCACATTTCCGACACAGACGCGGCATTGACGCTGGGAGAGGCTGGAGTCCAGCCCCAGCAGTGGCGGTAGGCAAATAAAAAAAATCACGCGTAAACTCACCCGTGCGTGAACTCAGTCAAACGTGAACTCAGTCGTACTTAAACTATGTAAACTGGGAACAGAATAATAACAGCGCTAGTTACAAATTAAACAAGAAAAGGAAATGTCGTGGATTTACTCTCCAAAACGCTGGTGGGCTGAAGTAGTAAACTGATTGCCGTTTTGTTTACGTGAGAAATCCCTTATTAATTGGCTGTGTCGGGTGGTGGAGGGTTACGACACAATTATGCTTACGCGATCTAACCCAAAAAGACCTTTATTATGAATAATATTGTTCGCGAAAGCCTACCACGTGTCAAACTGAAGAAGAGGAAAACTTGCTCTCGCATATTCACGGTGCATCTTCTTTGGTTCTTTCGGTAAGGTCACGTAGAATGAGAATAAAATAATAAAATAACACAATAAAATTCTCACGACGTTTCGGCCACAACGCAAGCGGCCGTTTTCAGGTGAAAGGTACAGACCTGTCGGGACGACATTGAAGCTCTGTTGTCCCGACAGGTCTGTACCTTTCACCTGAAGACGGCCGCTTGCGTTGTGGCCGAAACGTCGTGAGAATTTTATTGTGTTATTTTATTATTTTATTCTCATTCTACGTGACCTTACCGAAAGAACCAAAGAAGATGAATCCTTGCAGTCACGAAAGCTTTAAATCGAAATATTCACGGTTGTCAGTTCATAGTTGTAATTGCCAAGCAGGGCAGTTTGCTCCTCTGGATCGTGTATTTAGTTTGAATTTTTACCGGAATGGCGGTGGGGAGTTTGGGGCACGATTATTCACTAGACAGATTCGGTATGAACGGAACGAAAGTCTAAAGTTATATTGCGAGCGATAGAGACCTGCCTGTGTTTAGTCCTGACGGCTGTGAGTCACTCGACTTCAATACGCTTGTTTTACTATTATGCTTGATGACCCAGGAAAGCTTCACTGAGTCTCCGCACTCCTTTTCAGGAGGGTCCTGCTGAGTTTTCGCAGGGGGGGGGGGGGGGGGATGACTGTCGCTGCGAGTTTCCCAAACGAGTCGTTTGCGGTGCAACTTTTCAAATTCGGGCCGTGACGCCGGCTGACCTTCTCTGCTTCGAATGGCGTTGCGGGATCTTGAACGTCCACTGCGAATGAAGTGGTCGGCACGGTGTATTTCGCGCTGAATACACACACCGCGGAAAAACGCCGTGCGAGACGCGATTCCCCCCCCCCCCCCTCGTGATACGAGCGTGGACACGATGCGGCGCTCTTGATCGTCGCCAGGTTCATCGTCGACCGGGCGCTGACGGAGAATGGGCCGGAGGTGGCGGCGGCGCTGACCGCCGAGTGTCGGGACGTGGGCGCCGAGCCCCTGGAGGACCGGCGCGTCGTCGAGGTGGCCAACTGCCTCAAGAAGATCGCCGACGACCTCGAGAACAACGTTCAGCTGCAGCGGTGAGCGTCGCCCCCCCCCCCGGAGGCGAGGCAGGGGGGGAAGAGGAGGAGGAGCGATGGAGCGCCGGGGGGTGGCGGGATTGTTGCATCGCATTGAGCGTTGGCGGCGGAGGCCTGGGGAGTCCCTCATCCAGCGGTGGATTGACTGTGGCTGCTGCTGACGACGACGGTGATTATACGTAGGGCGGTTATTGAGTGCACGCCGCGATCGAACTGTGCACGACAATGTCTGTGCGTGCGGGTGTTTTTACAGACTCATACAGAACATCCCCGTCAATTCTCCCAAGGACTACCTGTTCGGCGTCGCCTGCAAACTCTTCGATGACGGGATTTTCAACTGGGGCCGCGTGGCCACCCTCTTTTACTTTGCATACAAGCTGGTGATCCGGGTGAGCGCCGCGGAAAAACACTCATTTGCATCACCATTGTGACGGATCCTCATCATTGCCGTCGTCACCATCGGCCGTTGTCTGTCCGCCGCTGGATGAAGTTCACGGTCAGCCAAGGCCACAATCTGTCCTGCTTCCTGCGCGCGAGTGGATTTCAACGGTGCGTCTCCACGGAGGACGTACTTTTGGGCGAATTCCCTCCTCTGCGTGTCAGTCCCGTTGTTAGTCACGGCCACCGGCGCCACCTTCCCTTCTCGCCGTGACGTGCCTTGCCCAAAGCCCATTTCAATTTTCTGAACAGTCAACGTGAGGTCCCTGAACCTTCGTGCTTCCGCTAATTCACGTGTTCCTCCTTCCCTCTCTCAGTGTAATTCTAAGCGTGCACCTCTCCACACTTATTTACGCACTTTTCAGATTTTGGTTCTGTTTTCTGTGTCACGTGTATACACACACACACACACCAACAAGTCATGGGGAGCAATGCTCATCTCTGCCACGCTTATCCAGAGTTGTACATTCCACATTCTCATGACGAGGACGGGTCATTACACAGGGATAGCCCTTACATTTTTTTTATGAACCACAAGCATCTTAATTAAGATTATAAACCAGGAGGAATTTCATGGTGAGCCCTTTGGAGACACGAGCATGTCATTTGTATCTGATGTCATGGCCCATTCGGGAACGGATGAGGTCACTGTCTATATTGAGGAACTAAGTGAAGCCTGGCCTACTCACTGGTCTGCCATGTGGCCTGGCTGTAGCAGGCAAGGCCGTGTCTTTGTGCTGTGTGTGTGTCAGTGGTGAGCAGCGGTCGGCGCACCGTTTGAGTCCCGCTCACAGCCAACAGTGATAAATAATTGAGTCGGTCCTTGGCTTCCCTTCGATCGACTCGGCCTTAAATGAGCCTGGTGCAGTGTGTTAACATCAGCACTGGGGAGACAAAGGCGTGGTGCTGGCCTCCCCGTTCCCTCGTGCACCGTGCCAGCTTTCTTAGGTGCACACTAACAGCACTTGCCCCAACTGCCTGTGTAGGCTACACAGGGGGGTGATCCCTTGTCTTTGTATGTGTGGGGGCAGCGGTGGTACAATGGTTAGCGCGTGCATTGCGCTAGAAACCTGGCAAATCGAGTTTGTATCATGGCTTTACCTGAAAATGCTTGGTGCAGATTCGAGCAAAATGTCGCATATGTTGATTAAATTTGCTTTTGCGAGACTTGCTCTTTAACTTCTTACCAGTGAGCGAGCCCAAACAATAATAATGGGCTCATTAATGCTCGTACACATGACAGATTTAACTTATCTTGCTGCTTTGGGTGGTCGAGGGTCTTGACGGCACACATATGGCCAGATTCTTACGTAGTGGCATAACAAAAAAAACATTGGGAATCCTAATGTTTCGATTTAAAGCTTTCGTGACTGCAAGGATTCATCTTCTTTGGTTCTTTCGGTAAAGTCACGTAGAATGAGAATAAAATAATAAAATAACACAATAAAATTCTCACGACGTTTCGGCCACAACACAAGTGGCCTTCATCAGGTGAAGGGACTGGACTGTCCTCTGGACTCTGGACAGTCCAGTCCCTTCACCTGATGAAAGCCACTTGTGTTGTGGCCGAAACGTCGTGAGAATTTGATTGTGTTATTTTATTATTTTATTCTCATTCTACGTGACTTTACCGAAAGAATCAACGAAGATGAATCCTAATGTTGTTCTTGTTACTCTCCCTTGCACGAATGGTTAAATGTAGATCACTTTCCAACAACAACAACATCATCATCATCATCGGTGGCGCTGCTGAAGCAGTAATAAATGGGCCATGTTTTGTTCACGTGAAAACCTTATTAAATGGCTGTGTCGGGTGGAGCAGGATGTACAACATGCAATTTTCCACACGCGGTCTAACCCAAAATCAATTCATTGCGTGTGTCGTGTCCCAGGCTTACACCAGCTGTGTGCCTGATTACGTGAAGACTCTACTGGGATGGATGCTTGAGCTTATTAAGCTGTACATTGTTCCCTGGATTAAACAGCAGGGGGGATGGGTAAGTGCCTTTCCGCTTTTAGGTAAATACAACTGGATTGCATTCACTATTATTGACGCTTGTCTACCCAGGAAAGCCTCAGATGTGAGTGAACTGAAAGAATCATAATTGGCCCTCGGTTGTGAAATCCTTGTTTGTGTACCACACGATAACTGAATTTGTTTGGCTTTGTCAGGCGACGGGAGGGGTGCTCATGGACACGGGGTTTTCCAGATTAATTCAGCAACACGTCGGCGGCAACACTGTGACCGCGCGATTTGACGTGCGGTTATTTCGCAGGAGGCGGTGATCGTGTACGTGCGATGGGCCGCGTGCCAGTCCCGGGTCGTCAAGGTGGCCAGCCTGCTCATGAGCGCCTTCCTCGTTTACCGACAGCTCAGGAAAGCCTAGGAGGTGCCGCCACCACCGCCGCCACCGCCGCCGCGGGTGCCAAGCAGAGGGCCCCAGAGTGTCAACACTCCGCAGGGAACTCCTCCCGCTCAAAAAAAAACAAGCTCTCGTTCAAAAACACAAGCTCTCGTTGAGGGCGGAAATCCTGCTTGTGAGCGTTGTTGGTGGCGGAAATTCCACGTTGCCATGGCGAGCGGCAGCTGTCTCGGCGCGCGACGGCCGCTGCGGGGTGAATCCATGCTGGACTGGATGCTGAATTGCCAGAAATGAACTGTGACGTGTTTTTTTCCTTACATTTAAAAACAAAAATATTTCACCAGGAATACTGCTTGAGATGGAACATTTTGTTTGCAAAGGTGCGATTCAACCGAGACGGGGTGACACGGGTGGTGCTTGTCAAACGCCCCGTTTTCCTGGGTTTTTTTGTAACTGAGGCGCCTGCCACTCGTAAACGTCCACCAGTGTCGCTCGTCGCGGCAGTAACCTTGTCCGTGGAAGGTGACTTGCACCGTGCGCACGGAGAGAAGAACACGTGGCTTGTCGTGGAAAAAGGTTGACAACTGACAAAACCTCATTGTCTCGAGAGTAGTAGTAGGCTTTTCTTGAGAGGAGATGGATTAAAAAAGTTAATTAGTTAATTTTGCAACATTGTGGTAAAATTCTACGATAAATTAACACCTTAAGGTTTGGCAGTGGAAATCTCACGATTCATTATTTTCAGATTTTATTAAAAGAAAATGAAAAAAAATCGGGCCCAGAAACGACATTTGGGAAGATAAAATCGAAATCTGGAATGGTTTAGAAGTAATGACATCATCAACGGAAGTGACGTCACTTATCACAGTGTGTGACATTTGTTTACAACGCCACTTGTGTTAGGTGGCATCGGGTGATGTTTCGTTTGTTAGCGTGGAGGAGGTGTGTTCAGAATACTGTGCAATTCGCAAGGCACTTTTCACTAAAAGGGGCACCAGTAGGGAGTTCCACAGCCGGGGGGGGGGGCACCACCCCCCCAAATCGAAACCCTACTTGAGGTTGGAATAAAAGGGCACCATCAGATCTTAAGGATGCTGCCGGGGCATAGGGTTATACATAATGTCAGCGACACGAAAATCTAAAACATCTGAAATTCTTAAAAAAAGAAAATCTGAAATCTGAATCCAATAGCCATCCATAACGACAACAACAACCGCCATTCGCCACTAAGTGGCGGAGACGTCACCACGGCGCTTGTGCCAGGCTATGTGCACGCCAAGGCCGCGTGAAGTGTCGAACGCCCGCTCATGGGTCGACCGAGATGACTGGCCGATGCACCACCTGTGCCCACCTGCTGTGGCACACATGGCCGTGGTTTATCGAGTTTTACCAGGTCGTGTCTCAAGCGACTGTTTTGGCCTTGTTTACGCGGGAAAGTCTCACGGAGTGTCACTCATTTTTCAGGAGGGTCCTGCTAAGTGTTCGCAGCAGGGGGCTTGACGATCGCTGTGTTTCCCAATGGAGTCATGCGGCCAACTCCATAAATGAGCGTTTATACTGCACGTGGGAGGAAACCGGAGAAACTCCGCGCAGACGAGGGGGTGGGGGCGGTGTAACGCTCAATCCCTCGCGGATGGAAACAGAAATCAATCCGCTTGCTGTACTGCTATAAGAGGAGCTGTTTTTGTAAATATTTGAAGATTCACGGTCGTACAGTTTTGCGAAACGCGTTTCACGCGCAACAACACCGAATGTGAGAGTGTGTGTGTGTGGGGGGGGGGGGGTGGGGTGGGGGGTAATGCCACTGCAGCGCTCGTGCCTGGCTAGGTGCACTTTGAGGCCGTCTCGTGTAGTGTGGAAGGCTGGCAGTCGGTCACTGGACAGACTCGGCTGAAATAAGTTGATTGGGATGTCTGGCAGATGCACGACCTGTGCCCCCAGCTGTGTAAACTCACTGCGTTATAGCTGCCTGGCGCTCCGCTCGTTGCTGGATGGCGACTGCCTCCAACTTGCCCAGTCACCTCCTTCACAAGCCTCCTCCACAGAGGCCAATCTTGACACCGCTCGTACCGGCCATTGGCACACACACACACACACACGGAGATATTTTATATTTACTCAATTAAAAAAATATTTTTTACCCGCAATATTATCTCAAATTGCAAGAGTTCCTCATCCACTAGGAACTTACAGAGCAGTTCGTCACCCCGTGTTGTTAAACAACCATTCGCATGAGCTCATATCACAGAACAGCTTCTGAGTTTCCCTTCAAGTGACCTCTTATCCACACAGGAGAAGCACTCGCCCACCCGCCACGCTACAGAGAGTAACGTTCATCGCATCATGGTCAAACTGATATTTTTAATTCTCAGAGCTACGATTTAGGCAATTTTATTGCAAACGTTAATTTAACATTGTGCGTTTTTTATATATGTGTGTGTGTGTGTGCAATCATTTGTGACTGGTCTGAGACCGTCAACTCGATTGACTTGAGAACCGAATTTTATTTTCAGCTCTGTCGATGTGAGTGCATTTGTCGTGATGTGAATGTATGGGTCTCTGTGAGGCTATGGGCCTCGATGTGATTCTATGGGTCTCTATGCGAGTCACCGGTGACTGGACTGAGACCGTCAGCTCGCTCCCCTTGAGAACCCAGTTTAATATAAATCGTTTATTCTCACACTCTCACTTGAGCGAGTCGGAGCAGCTGACACGCTACGGCAGCGTATTTCGTTTCAGAAATACATTACAAAAAATATTTCTAAGGGAATGGTGTTAAAGGCAACAACTCATTGCCAAAGAGGGGGAAGTTAAAGGGTCGGAGGGGGGGGGTCAGACAGTTCTACTTTATACAATTAAATGCAAACATCAATGGGTGTAGCCACAATAAAGAAATCGAGATTAATAACAATTAAAATATAGCATACGAACTATAAAGTGCTGGTCTCCGAGTAGAGACGTCTTACGTGGTAAGGTACGGTAGTGCGGCCACGCGCGTAAGTGATAAGTTATTTTGGGAATGGGGGGGGGGGGTAATGGGTGTAGAACGTGTGGCCATGGTTCGCAGCTCGAACCCAGATTCTAACCGTGTATCTTGGTGGTGCTGGTTCAGCGTCCCTGACCTCTGAGCCACCCACCCGGCCTCCACACATGCTGCTGTTGTAATGAAACCTCGGCACCGCTCACGAGCATTTGGTTTCCGTTTACGATATTTACAAATTGAGCTTCGATACCACCTCTGGCATCATTTCACCACAGTTACCACGTCTGCAGTTTTGATTCGTTTGTCCGATGGATGGATGGATGGATGATGAATGGCCTGCAATCCCCACTCCCTCTTCACCTTTTCCCCATAGCAAGCACTGCGTTGCACACTCCCTCGCGTTTACTTTGCGACGCTCGGTCGGCGGGAAGGAGGCGATAGTCCGTTGAACTTTTCTACCCTTTAACATTTCTGTCCGCTGTAAATGATGGCGATGATGAGTAAACGCGTGCGATGATCATGGCCGTGGTGTAACGCTTAGCACGCTGTGCCGCCGGTTCACTTGGGTGTCGCGGAAGCGCGCGACGGTGGTCATCGTGGCGAGGAATATCGAGAAGGGCGTTGGGCCGACGACGCAGCCTTGTTCGGCTCCCCTCTGAGCGTCACAGCGGGCTCTGATGATGGCTCCGTCGCTGAGAAATCTCCGCTGCGTCGCTGAGAAATCTCCGCTCCGTCGCTGAGGAATCTCCGCTCCGTCGCTGAGAAATCTCCGCTCCGTCGCTGAGAAATCTCCGCTCCGTCGCTGAGAAATCTCCGCTCCGTCGCTGAGAAATCTCCGCTCCGTCGCTGATGAATCGCCGCTCCGTCGCTGAGAAATCTCCGCTCCACCGCTGATGAATCTCCGCTCCGTCGCTGATGAATCTCCGCTCCGTCGCTGATGAATCTCCGCTCCGTCGCTGATGAATCTCCGCTCCGTCGCTGATGAATCTCCGCTCCGTCGCTGAGAAATCTCCGCTCCGTCGCTGATGAATCTCCGCTCCGTCGCTGAGAAATCTCCGCTTCGTCGCTGATGAATCTCCGCTCCGTCGCTGAGGAATCTCCGCTCCGTCGCTGATGAATCTCCGCTCCGTCGCTGAGAAATCGCCGCTCCGTCGCTGAGAAATCTCCGCTCCGTCGCTGAGAAATCTCCGCTCCGTCGCTGAGAAATCTCCGCTCCGTCACTGAGGAATCTCCGCTCTGTCGCTGAGAAATCTCCGCTCCGTCGCTGAGGAATCTCCGCTCCGTCGCTGATGAATCTCCGCTCCGTCGCTGAGAAATCTCCGCTCCGCCGCTGAGAAATCTCCGCTCCATCGCTGATGAATCTCCGCTCCGTCGCTGAGAAATCTCCGCTCCGTCGCTGATGAATCTCCGCTCCGTCGCTGATGAATCTCCGCTCCGTCGCTGAGAAAATCTCCGCTCCGTCGCTGAGAAATCTCCGCTCCGTCGCTGATGAATCTCCGCTCCGTCGCTGATGAATCTCCGCTCCGCCGCTGATGAATCTCCGCTCCATCGCTGATGAATCTCCGCTCCGCCGCTGATGAATCTCCGCTCCGCCGCTGAGAAATCTCCGCTCCGTCGCTGATGAATCTCCGCTCCGTCGCTGATGAATCTCCGCTCCGTCGCTGATGAATCTCCGCTCCGTCGCTGAGAAATCTCCGCTCTGTCGCTGATGAATCTCCGCTCCGTCGCTGAGAAATCTCCGCTCCGTCGCTGATGAATCTCCGCTCCGTCGCTGATGAATCTCCGCTCCGTCGCTGAGAAATCTCGGCTCCGTCGCTGATGAATCTCCGCTCCGTCGCTGAGAAATCTCCGCTCCGTCGCTGAGAAATCTCCGCTGCATCGCTGAGAAATCTCCGTTCCGTCGCTGAGAAATCTCCGCTCCGTCGCTGAGAAATCTCCGCTCCGTCGCTGATGAATCTCCGCTGCGTCGCTGATGAATCTCCGCTCCGTCGCTGATGAATCTCCACTCCGTCGCTGATGAATCTCCGCTCCGTCGCTGATGAATCTCCGCTCCGTCGCTGAGGAATCTCCGCTCCGTCGCTGAGAAATCTCCGCTCCGTCGCTGATGAATCTCCGCTCCGTCGCTGATGAATCTCCGCTCCGTCGCTGAGAAATCTCCGCTCCGTCGCTGATGAATCTCCGCTCCGTCGCTGAGGAATCTCCGCTCCGTCGCTGATGAATCTCCGCTCCGTCGCTGAGAAATCTCCGCTCCGTCGCTGATGAATCTCCGCTCCGCCGCTGAGGAATCTCCGCTCCGTCGCTGATGAATCTCCGCTCCGTCGCTGAGAAATCTCCGCTCCGTCGCTGAGAAATCTCCGCTCCGTCGCTGATGAATCTCCGCTCCGTCGCTGATGAATCTCCGCTCCGTCGCTGATGAATCTCCCGCTGCGTCGCTGAGAAATCTCCGCTCCGTCGCTGAGAAATCTCCGCTCCGTCGCTGAGAAATCTCCGCTGCGTCGCTGATGAATCTCCGCTCCGTCCCTGATGAATCTCCGCTCCGTCGTTGAGAAATCTCCGCTCCGCCGCTGAGAAATCTCCGCTCCGTCGCTGATGAATCTCCGTTCCGTCGCTGAGAAATCTCCGCTCCGTCGCTGATGAATCTCCGCTCCGTCGCTGAGAAATCTCCGCTCCGTCGCTGAGAAATCTCGCTCCGTCGCTGAGAAATCTCCGCTCCGTCGCTGATGAATCTCCGCTCCGCCGCTGAGAAATCTCCGCTCCGTCGCTGATGAATCTCCGCTCCGTCGCTGAGA